CGTCTCATCTCGCTCATCTCGGTCGTCTCGTCATCTCGGCCAGGTCGGTCATCTCGGTCGGTCAAGCCATCCATGATCCATCTCGTCACCCACCAGATCATGACATGCTGCCCCATGCTGCCACTGCCATCCTGCCACTGCCATCCGGCCACTGCCATCCTGACCATCCACCCGCCGCGCCGGTAGCCAATCGTAGAATTTCCGCCCTCTCTCTCGGATTTGGCCGGTTGAGCTGGAGGCCGGTTCGGGCAAGGGCTGGTCTCGACAGTGGCCGATGGCTCCATAATAGTCCATAGTCCATAGTCCATAGTCTTGTAGTCTGCCTCTCTCTCTCTCTCTTGCTCTCTTGCTCTCTTGCTCTCCTCAGGCTGCAGCATGTGGCGCACGACATGGCTTGGCACCGTTTGACAGTGGACCGTCAGTCGAGCCTGCCATTCCAGGCCTGATCTGCGTTCCGGATCCTGCAAGCGCGCCGGACCTGCCAGACAGCGCCGCAGAGGAATGGGAGTGGGTGATGCTGGTGGTGCTGCTGCTGGTGGTGCTGCTGCTGATACTGTGCTCTGTCGCTGCTGCTGCTGATACCGTGCTCTCTCTGTCGCTGCTGCTGCTGATACCGTGCTCTGTCGCTGCCACTTCCTTCCCCCCTGAGCTGTCTCGTGTGGGGTGCAGAGAGAAGAGCGTTGGATACGGTACCCACTGCCAGACTGCATATGCACTGCTCCCTGACCTGAACCTTATCGACCCTACCCTCCGCTCAAGCACACCATCCCATCCACCTCTCCAACACTCGTCGGCTAAGAAACCGTTGGAGCCATGGGAAAAAAAAGGCCATCGGGGAGGGGGGAGGTGGCGTTGGCTTGCTTCCATGGTAGGGTATCATTCCGCGGCCAGGCGCTCGTGAGCTTGACGTTGCAATCGCCCGTCTGCCCACCCACCCACCCACCCACACACACACATACACACACTCTCTCTCTCTCTCTCTCGCGCGCTCTCTCAGCTCCACCACTGACCACTGGCACTTGTTCGCCCGGCGTCGCGGGAGCGCCCAGCTGATGATCTGCAAAGTGGGTGGAGCCCTCTCATAAGAAACGAGTCTTGTCCCCCACCACCACCACAAGAGGTTCTTTGGTGAGAGCTGAGGTACGTCGGATCCCTCTGCTGCCTCTGCTGCCTCTGCTGCTCCTTCCTCTGCTGCCTCTGCTGCTCCTTCCTCGACTGCCGCTGCTGCTCCTTCCTCGACTGCCTCTGCCTCGCTCTTACCCTCCTCTCCTGCACCTTCCCTGCCTGCCTCTCCGCCTCTCCGCCTCTCCTGCACCTTCCCTGACTGCCTCCGTGGCTTCTTCAAAGAGTCGCGGTTCCTGCACCGGCACCTGCACCTGCCGCACCTGCACCTGCACCTGCACCTGCACCTGCGCCCTCCCCTTGCAGCTTACGTACAATCCGCCTCTTCGTTGGGAGATTGGCCGTCTGATCTTGCTCTGCGCCACCCCGACATCCAACCCTCCACCAACCCTCCACCAACCCTCCACCAGCCCTCCACCAGCCCGGCCTGTCGGGTATTCCTGTCAAAGGGCAGCCTGATCTCAGTTGAAGATTATCTCATCCAGTCGCGACATTTGGCCACCATTCCAACGCCCTACCTCAGTCGCGTACACAACCGCGCGCTAACTTTAACAATGTACCACCCAGGTCAGTCCTTCTTCGTGACTTCAACGCTTGTTAACGGCGTGCCGGCCGCTCTGCCGCTCCTCACCCTACTCCCCACCCCCATCTTCAAAAGCACATGTCGAACCCCTTCTTCCACACTCCGACTCCGTACATCCTCAACTCTCCTGTCCTTACTTCTCCACCCTCTTCCCATCCCTTCCACCGTTCCCTACGCCTGCCCACCACAAGCGGCTCTAAAGACCCTGACTGCAACCCACCTCTTCATACTCGACATTCCCTTCACCCTCCCTTTCCACTCGAGTCCGTCATTCCTCGTCGCTGTCTCAGCAAGCCTCGAGCCACTCGCTGACCCCAGCCCCAGCTTCTCTTTCTCGGCGTCCTTCCGTGGTGTCCAAGGGTCCCATGACGACGTCTTGCAAGCAGGAAACGATGGACTGTTCTCAGCCCACGACCTCTGCCTATCCAAGCTCGGGCTATCCCACTCCTTGCTCTTCCGCATACGACAGCCGTAGGGGCTCGATAGCCTCGATGCAGTCTGCTTCTTCCTACGCGCAGAGCTATTCCAGCGCCGGCTCTTCGTTCTGCTCGACCCAGATGCCGCCAACCCCGCACACGTCTCGAGAGACTCTTTCCGACGACTGGATGCTGACCCAAGGCGGCGTGCCACTCGAGACGGCCACCTCCCAGGACGGAGTTCAACATGAAAGCGACGACTTTGCTTCCGAGACCTGGTCGAATATGCCCGTCTACGGAAGCAAGATGCCGACCCAGAGGCGACGCCTGGACTCGGGCTTCGTCTTCATGGAGCCGAATGAGTTCAACAACGCCATGAGGATTCCCGGTTCGGAGCCTGATGGCATGATGCCAGCCTCGGGCGACTTCCGGTCAGCCTTCGACGCCAGTCTTGGACCTCAACCCGTCGTGAGAGCACTCCAGCCACCGGCAGAGATCTACCCATCACCCGACATCTGGTCTCTCCAAGCCAACCCAAGCTCTGCATACCCACTCAACGCCATGACTTCGGGCGCGTACGAACAACTGGCGCACGCCGCCGGCGTTAACATGAACCATGACTGGTCTCATTCATCCGACGGTCACTTTGGTCTTCCTGTCCTGGGCGGCCCAACATCCACTCTGGCACCCGTCGAGACCTTTGTGGATGCCAACGAACGCACCTTCCCGGAGATGCACTCTGACAGCTTCGACGACAGCATGGGCTCCTTTGATGGATACACAACGCCTTCGACAAGCCCTTGCTCATTAAGGTACGCCAACGGCGAAGATGGCTATTTTCCGAGGGTCAAGGAAGAGAGGGTCAAGGAAGAACACGACCCTGACTTCCTGGACCGCAAGAGAGCCATGTTCTCCACTCCAATCCGGAGGGGGAGCAGAAGAGACAAGCGTGACCGCGGCATGTCCAAGCGCAAGCTCCGCGTCCCAAACCCCCTCGACACCTACTACACCCACACCGACGACGGCTGCCAGGTGGAGGTCCAGTACCAGGCCGGCATCCAAGTCGACCAAAAGACCGGCCGATACACGTCGCTGACAGGAGAGACGAAGAAGCAGAGGTGTCGTTTCGACGGGTGCATCAAGACGTTTGCCCGACCGGAGCACCTCAAACGCCACGAGAACACACACAGCAAGGAGAAGCCGTTTGCATGCGCGGTCCCCAAATGCGATCGGGCCTTCAGCCGTAACGACAACCGCAAGGCCCACTACGAGACTCATCTGAAGATGGAGATGTCCGGAAAGAAGGCTCGGAACGCGGCGGTGTCGTTTGAGCACCTGTGCGCCTACATCGAACAATCCGAGTCGCCCGAGGAAGCGCGGAAGATGATAGAGAAGCTGCAAAACCCAAAGACGAAATCGAAGCTATTGCGGAGGGACTGATAACGGCTCTCGGAGTTGGCGGGATATCATGTTCGGTTATCTTGTTGTTTTGCTCGAATCTTCTTTCCCATCGCACCACCCCCTTCCCAACCTTTCGGATATCCTGACTTTTTCTTTTCTTTTCTTTTTCCCATGCTTCTTCATGCTCGCTACGCGCGTTGCTCATGATTCTAATGTGTACTCATCTTTTGTGCTGGTGTGTCTGTACCATAACGCCGCTGGGGGAAAAAAGGACTCGGGGGAGGGTGGGTGGATTTTCGCGCGGCAAGGAAATCTGGCTCGTACATGGAGACGACGGCATTAATCATGAGGCGACGAGGACGAATGGATGGCTGGATGGCTGGATGGATGGATGGATGGATGGATGGATGGATGGATGATGGATGATGGATGGATGGAACGAGGACGGACCGCGCGGGTCTCACGCTAGTTAAACGCCCGTATACGCATCATGAGTTTGCCTCACGGCCTGCCTGCTGCGAAACCGTCCCCTGCAACTGTTGAAGCGACGAGACGAGCGAGACATAACGTACCCATCCCGCGCCTTGCCCCACCAAGCCCTCCAAGCCCTCCACATCATCAAATCAGCAAATCATCGGATAGCAAATCAGCAAATCATCGGATAGCAAATCAGCAAACCATCAAACCATCCATCATCACCGTCCCATCCCATCCCAGCCCATCTCCCCCATCCATCCTTTTCTCATCTCTCATCTCGTCGCTCGTCGCTCGTCTCGTCGCTCGTCTAGTCGCTCGTCTCGTCTCCCACCAGACGAATGCTTTTGTTGTCTTGTCTCGTCTTGTCTTCTCTTCTCTTCTCTTCTCGTTCTCTTGTCTTCTCTCGTCTCGTTCTCGTTCTCGTTCTTGTTCTTGTTCTCGTTCTCGTTCTTGTTCTCGTTCTTGCCGCGGGGTCTTGTCTCGGGGTCGCGGTCGGAGTCGCGGTCGGAGTCGGAGTCGCGGTCGTGGGCCGGAAGAACGTTATCGGCGGTCCGGTTGGGTTGACGAGCGGCGCACGGGCGGGCCGGATGAGCGAGTCGGATGAGCCGGATATGAGCCGCGGTCGGGCCCGGATGAGTCGCGGTGGGGGATGGCGGATGAGTTGCGGCGGGGATGGCGGATGAGGGAGCCGGATGAGCCGGATGAGTT